TTAAAACAAGGAGCCAACCGCCAGAACGAAGGCATCCTCCCTCAGGGCAGATGCCCAGGTTGCTATGGGGATGTTTGTGATAAGGAGTCTACAACCCGCCTGGTTCACATCAGCTTCAAGGATGTTTCCACATTCCTTTATGCTTCAGTCTTATTAAGGAGATCCCATTCATCTGAGGCCTCTAAAAACTTGTCTTTTTCACCCAAAGATTCACCAAAGATATATTTTTCTCACACTTCCTTCCTTCCCCTTCCTATCCTCCTTCCTATCCTCTTTCCTTCCCCTTCCCCTTTCCTATCCTTCCTTCCTCTTTTTCTTTTCCTTCCTTCCTTCCTTCCTTCCTTCCTCCCACCCTCCCTCCCTCCTGTCCCAGGTTTTATAAGTCTTCCCCCTTCACAGCATCTCGCCCACAAATTCTCCCTGGGAGATGGGTGTAACTTCACAGCTGCCACTTACTAACCCGTCCTTGAAACCTAGAAGATTGGGCAAGCCTTCTGTTCCCGAATACATGGAAGTATCCAAAACTAAATGTCATTTACAAACTGATCTTGAGAAGGGGAGGAAGGGAGAGGAGAAGAAAAAGAAGGCGGCTAAGTTGATGTGAAGGAACACACACACATGCACGCACGCACGCATTTAGTTCTAGAATTTTTGTGCTTCTCTTGGCTGAACATAAAAAGTTTTCATAGCAAATTAAGTTCAAAGATCATTGCGCAACTAAAGAATTGCTGATGCCCAACTTAATAATATTCCCTGCCATGGAAGTTTTGGCTAGAGATCTAATTTATGGCAACCCAGTGGAAGCAGAGAAGCCCTTTGCACCGTTCAGAATTACCTTTTTCCTCTAGCTTCCTGATGTTTGGAGGCTGAAGCCTGCCCCTGAAATGGCACCGTTCAAAATCAGCTCTGATTGCCTTGGTTCCTGTTACTGCTCATACCTCCCAACCCATTCTTACAGCACATATTTTTTTTGGAGGGGGTGCGAGCACAGCCTGGATTTTGTGATTTGGAATTGCCCCTGAATTTCAGAAGGCCGCAGGAGCAGCTGAGTCAGAGGCTGGAAGTCAGTTCTGGTCCTGCAATGTTAGTGGTGGAGTTTGTGTTGAAGGCAGGTCCCTTTGCAAGGGGCTTGGAGGCTCCCGCAGAGAATGGAGAAATGGATTTCCCACCTGCCCATATTTCCTTTCCTCCTGCCAGGGCTACAATTACATGATCCCCAGGGAAGATGGATGGTTCTTTCAGCTTCGGGGCTATTACTTTTTTCCAGAATTGTATTCCGTGCCTAAAAAGGTAGGGAAGGTCTCCAAGATCAAGTCAAGAAGCCGTCTATTCCAGCATCAAGTTTCCGAGAGTGAATGGCCAGGCTTCCAGAGCCCACAAATAAAGCATCGAGCAATGGCTCTTTGCTAGAGTTGTCTTTTCCCCAACTTCCAGCATTCAGAAAGGTGGACTGCCTGTGAACCCGGAGGCTCCATTTTGTGCTCTGGAGGGCTCACCACAAGTCCCTCTAACTGTGCCTCAAAGATGCCACACTAACTGTGGTTAAGGACCAATCCTGATGGTGCAGGCCATTCACGGACCACAGCTGAGTGGCTGATGCTCTATTTATTTCACCCAGTGTCCAAACTGGCATTTTGTATCCTCTCCCAACCCAAGCCTTGCTATATGCACATATGTATAATTTTGTGTCTGTGTGCACACGCACGTTGTTAGCTCCTGGCAACTTCATGGACGAGTCGCTGCAGTTTTCTTTGCAAGATTTTTGGAAGTGGTTTGCCCTTGCCTTCTTCCTATGGCTGAGAGACGGAACCGGACAAAAGTCAACCCAGCGGACTTCGTGCCCAATAAAGGCAGGACTAGAATTCCCTGGTTTCTTCCCTGGTGCTTTTAACCACTATAACCAGCTGGCTGACATGCAAATTATAAATATAGTCAGATAAATAGGAAAGCACATTCAACTAGCTATTTGAATGGGCGTACCGACTTCTCCTCCTTGCAAATTGTTTGGTTTAATACCATTCCAAAGGCCATTGGCCTTTCTGAAGGTTGCAAGTTCCCAAAATTGAGTCAGAAAGAGCAAAATATGGAACTTCTGTAAAGGACTGTCAAGAGCAGGATTTTCAATTTGCTGTAAATGTTTGTAATTATTGCTCCTTCAATGTTGTGCTTGAGTAGAATCCTCCACAAAAATTACCAGCCGCTCCTGGCTAGATTAATCACACACCATCAAAGCAGGAAGGAGGAAGCAATTGTCGTAAAATCTCTCTAGCTGATCGCCTAGAGGTGATTTGCTACTTACCCCAGGCGATCATGTTATTTGCAAGCCCAGAGTGCAAATCAGTCATTTTTCCATGGAAATGTGCAAATCAGTCATTTTTCCATGGAAATCAGTTAGAATCTGGGTGTTTTCCCTTTCTTATCTGATCTATTACTTTTTGTTTTGTTCAAGCAGGACTGGCTCAAGGTAATTTCTGGGTTGGGGAAAAGAGCATTTTGTCATTCTCACCCAATGACATATTGTTGTGTGGGTGTATTTATTCCCTTAGAAGCTTCAGATGCCGGCCCTTTTCCGTGCTACGTGGCTGAACTTCATAACATTCCTTGTCATCTGAAATTCTTCCACCCCTGGCCAGCCTACCTAAGTTCAAATCAAAATCAAGAATGAATCCAAAACGTTACTACAGCTAAAAGAAACACAGCAACTGACAAATATGAAAAAAACCAGCAAATAAGTAATATAGGAGGAATTTTGTCTTCGGCATGTATGTGCCACGATCTTGAAGCCAAGTAACAGAATTTGGCAACGTGATTTGTGACCTGAACATTCATAACGCGAAGGCCGTAGGAGAATTGTCTGTCTGCCCTGGCGTTATTACTGAAAAAGGAGAAATGAAATGTTGGCATAAGGCCAAACAAAATCTCCAATGTAAAAGCACACACACTTTTTTTGATTCCTTCCATACCATGTGGGCACAAGCAGCAGGTTATAGGAGTTTTGTGATACCTGTCCCAAAGCAGTGCGGTAGGAAGGGCCTTGCAACGGGCCCTTGCAAAGCCCCCCCCCTTTTTTAGATTTTTTTTATCCCGCTTTTATTACTTTTATGAACAACTCAAAGTGGTGAACATACCTAATACTCCTTCCTCCTCCTATTTTGCCTACAACAACAACCCTGTGAGGTGGGTTGGGCTGAGAAAGAGGGACTGGCCCAAGTCACCCCACGGCTGGCATTTTGAACAGACCAATATGTTAATGTAAGAGGCTCTGATTCTCCTATCCGATAGGAGATTTCTCCTTATCAACAATATTGTGTTAAAAGAAAAAACGTACCCATCATAACAGATCTTTCCCAATTCTACCCTGGATGGATGTGAGTAACCACAGACCCATTCTAAAGGTGGCAGAGGACATCAGCCACTTTTGGTCTTCAGAAGACTAGCAGTCATAGAGCCTGGTGAAGAGATGGAGGGAACTCATTCCAAAGCCCATGTGCCACCGCTAAGAAAGTCCTGTTTCTCTATTTAACTTCCCTTGCTGGCAGCAGAGCCTTTAAAGGAAACTGAAATAGTTGGAAAAGTTGTGCAGGTGTAGGCAGTTGGTGCAATCCAGAATTTCTTCTTGGCTTAGGGCAGTGTTTCTCAACCTTGGCCACTTTAAGATGTGTGGACTTCAACTCCCAGAATTCCCCAGCCAGCATGAAGTCCAGACATCTTAAAATGGCCAAGGTTGAGAAACACTGGCGTAGGGATTAAATATTAGCCTCTTCTGCTTTGCCTGATTGTTCTGAAGATTTAAAACAAAAAAAATAGAGAAGTCACTGGCCACCTTTCTTGGGGCATCACATTTCTGATATTCCTGGCTGTGTTTCTCCCCTTGCTCACAAGCCCTTTCTGCTTTTTCTGTTTCGGCAGGAGAATTTGGATCTGTCATGGAGGGCCAGCTCAGCCAAGATGGGGCTGTCTTTAAAGTAGCTGTCAAGACAATGAAGAGTAAGTAGCCACAAGAAAAAAAAAGTCCCTTTTGGGGGGGGGGAGCTGTCCCAGCCCCAATATATTGAGAGAGATCACAATTATCCTGAAGAAATCCCACTCTGCACATGCCCAGAGATCTCCAGGCACTGAACCGCAAGTTTTCCCATCAGAAATCCTTGAGATACTCAACACTTTAATGTCTCTCTTCTCTCGGCAGTTGCCATATGCACCCGCAGCGAGATGGAGGATTTCCTCAGTGAGGCTGTTTGTATGAAGGACTTTGACCACCCCAACGTCATGAAGCTGATCGGTGAGGGACAAGAATGCCTCTTCTTGTATGCCCTACTTCTTGCAGACACGTATAACATCCAGGATCTCCTCCTCCTAGCACAGAGAGTGGTCACCCAGGCCAAGGAGCACAGAGGGCGAAGTGTTGATGCAAAGAGGGCAAGACAGGAGTTTTAGATACAGGTAGTCCCCAGGTTAAGAATGCCACGTTTACAGACAACCCATAGTTAAGGACGGAGCCTATGGTAGCAAAATTCGAGCTAAACACGCAATGATTTGAGTTCCTTGCACAATCCTACTTCCAGCTTACATACAAATTCAACTTAGGCAGACCTTAGGAACAGGACTCGTTCTTAAACTGGGGACTCCCTGTATTTGCGAGAGAGAGAGAGAGCTGCAGAGCCCCACTGTTCCTCAGTCGACTTGATGAGCTGGTCCCAAGATCCAAGAGGTTTTTGTGGGTTCAGGATCCATCCACTTTCGCTGGCCAAAGAAGTACTCTCTTCATTAAGAGAGAGAAGATGGAAGTTCTCTCTCAGGCATCACACTGAACAACTGGGGAGAAATCAACTGTAGAAGCACTGGAATAAGGACCCAGTTTTCCTTGTGTAGTATTTGTGAGTTAGATTTGACAAACTTCTCTAAAGCTTCCCAAAGGTGACCTTCTGATCACAGTTAGATCCAAGAATGATCCATAGGAAATTTGTTCCATTTATACAATGCTTTTCTATTTGGCCAGGAGAAGAGTGTGTGTTTGTGTGTGTTTCTAGTCCAGTGCCTTTAACCACTACCCCAAACTGGCTCTCAGGACAGGATGACTTGTCTGGATTTTCCAAGTCTTTTTTGCCTCTTTTTTAATGGGGGATAATTTTTTGAGTATTCGATCTTGTTCAACTATATTCCATATTTTGGGGATTGAAGTTCCTGCGCTTGTGCGATTCCTGCTTTTGAGTGCTGCTGATTTGGGGCAGTGGTGCTTAAAGAGGATTCTCAGGGCCCCCAAAAGAGGATGGGTGCAGATCTGCCCTACCGTAGGCGAAAGGTGGTGTAGGTCCACAATTCCTGTGAGCCCCAGCCAGTGCTGAGGACAGCTAACTGTGTATACATTGTGTATAGGGCAGTGTTTCTCAACCCTGGGAACGTTAAGACATGTGGACTTCAACTCCCAGAATTCCCCAGCCAGCACAACTGGCTGGGGAATTCTGGGAGTTGAA